GGCAGACTGTTTGAAAGTTGTTTCAAGAAACTACGTTCTTTTTACCATGATGTAAAAACATAAGGTGTGTTCTTGCGCATCCATTTGAACATCCATCTGTACACGGACACTTCCACTCGTTGGCCATTTTGGATTTCTAACCAATCACACTCCATATTAAAACAGAGCGAATTTTAAAATCGTAAACATGTCAAAAATTAGGTTCTCGGAGAGTAATATTGTATATGCGTGTTTGAAATAAACAATAGATCATCGTACTTCCAATATGGCCGATGAGTGGAAGGCGCAAACAGCGACACATTTGAACACGCCGGAAGAACACACCTTATGTTTTTACATCATGCTTTTTACTAACTAAAGTTAATGTTTAAGTATGCATTAACACGTAACGAAGATTTTTAAGTACATCTATCTACAGCTTGTGGCTGTAAATATTTCCCCTATCAATGGCAGACTGTAAAAAATTGTTCCATTTTTTGTGTTACGACCATCCGGACTAAATGCCTTAATAATCGATAGTGCCATAAGGGTACTAAATGCAATATAAAAGATTTCTCTGCTTGCAAAACCGTAATTGCCTCCTCGAAAGGCGTGAAAAAATTGTATTAAATTCTTGGCTTCTCGTAAAGTACTTCGTTTCTTCTCATTGACCTTCGCCTGATGAAGTCATCAGTAAGCTATGGTAAAATATTCAAATTGTGAATATATTGCTTTGAGAGCTTGCAATGGTAATCCCACTGACTTAAATATAAATCGTTTACAAGTTGAACAAACTTTGAACTCTGGATGAAAAAATGTTATACCAAAATATTATCTTCATTTTTAACGTAGAATCATCCCCTGTTGTACTACGATTTTCAGTCCACACTGTATATCGAACGAGGGTAGAAATGGGGTGGAATACTTAACTAGCTTCGAACTTCCACTGATTGCTAAATTAACCGTGGGCTCCTCTATACCTCGTTGAACCCTTCAACCGAACTAGCTGCCTCTTCAAAACTTCATTCTTCATATACTTAACAATTTACTTGATTATGACAGATAACGTCCTCTTCCTCTTTAATTAGATATAATTTCTCACAATTTCTATAGCTAACAAATTTGAATTTTCTCGGAACGTGCGAGGTCAGAAATAACCCCCTCCCTTCCTCCCTCGTCCCCCGTCTCGCGGGGGTTTAATTGTTTCACTTACACACATGCATGTTTCAAGATTTATGAGCCCACGTTCTCCCAGGTGTACAGAATCTTAGAACATGCAACGTTGCCACGGTGAAATTATTCCTGGAACGACGTTTAAATTCACACGATGTTTTGTTACTCTCATCGGCGATAAAAATAATTATACGCGGAATAAATTTTACCTCCGCGTCGATGCGTTTCTAAAACGAATGCTCCTATCTCGGATCAATTTATCCTGCACCCTTAGCACATATATTATATTAATAGATGAAAATCATTTTACGATAAATCGATACTTGCGGGAACGTAAATAAAAATCTAAATCATCCTCGTTCTCCTGCGTGAACTGGTTAATAATGATGGGTAAGAATTCTTGTTTAACTGAGTTTCATCGAAATGAGTTACGCCCCGAGCATTCGTGAAATTCACTTTTTATCACATGCATCGGAATGACCGACGTGACATCAAGATGTTCGACGCGACGTGCACCGGTGACAAAAAAAAAAAAATGGGAGCGAAATGCATTTTACATGTAACGTCGACGATGCTCGCGCTTGATAAATTTATAGCAGTTTTCAGAATTATAGGCGACGAATAAAAACTGGGAATAATATAACGTTTTACACGTGGTAGAAATTCTCAGTAATATATTTCCCGGATTTTCTTATTTTACAGTTTCATATAAAGGAAAGAGAAAGAGAGAGAAAGAGAGAGAGAGAGAGTACAGAATTATATTACTTGGCGCGATGCGATTTATATCGTGTGCGACCTTTCCTGTTTGTTTGTTTTATATTTCTTAAAATATGCGAGGGATCGTGAAAGAAATGGTAGAAAAATGCTGATGAGAATGAAAGTGTTATATTTCTTTCTACTAATTTTATCTGTCATTTTAATGCTTTTATTTATCAATTTATTTAATGGGATAAAAGCTCTTTTATGCACTCAAATAAACGTCAGGCAGAAATATTGTTAAACGAAATCATACGAGTTCTGAAAGCTGACAATTCGTTTATATGACAATATACAGTGTGTCCCAGAAAAAGTATTAGAGCCGATAATGGGTGATTTTGGAGGTGTTTCTGAAAAATAATTTCTTTTGGTAAAATGCAAAACGAGCCATGGTTTTTTAATTATTAAGGAAAAACAGTGACCAATGAGAGCACGCACTGGCCGCGTTTAGCCAATACCGAGCGTCACGACCCCAGCCAACACTCTAGCGGCTCAGCGTGGGCCCTACACGTGTTCTCATTGGTCAGTGTTTTTCGTTAATAATTTAAAAACCATGCCTCATTTTGCACTTTGGCAAAGGAAATTGTTGTTCAGAAACACTTACAGAATCACCTCTTTTCTGGAACAACTTGTATAATTACTACAAAATAAATAAATTTAGTAACTTAAGTTTTTATAGGTGTTAGAGATTACACAGAAGAAAAGGACATTAAGTAAAATTGAAACATTTTATGTTTTGTGCATTTTAATATGGTAGTCGCATACTTATATCTATTGTGCTAGAATAACTTTGAGAGGGAAACTTTTAAACTTGTGCTTCACGGGTAAAAGTAAGGCCTCTGTTCCAT